TGAATCAAACATGCACTTTATTTATTTCCACTAAATAACAAAAGTACATCAAATCAGATTGAAGCTAAGGGCATACATAAACTGTCTAACAAAAACATTTGCTCCAATGGCAAAGATGAATACGACTCGAGTTCTTCCATCATTGGCTACAAATCTTAACTGGGAGTTGCACCAACTTAATGTAAAAAATGCCTTCTTAAATGGTAATTTGGAAGATGAGGTGTCTATGGTTCAGCCATCGGGGTTCTATGCAAAAGGAAGTGAAAATAAGATGTGCAAATTGATAATGTCTCTATATGGCTTAAAACAATCTCCTAGAGCATGGTTTAGTAGGTTTCATATGGCAATTCAGCAAGTAGGGTCTAGACAATGCCAATTTGAGCATGCTTTCTTTGCTAAGAGATGTCAAGAGCATATTGCAATGTTGATAGTGTATCTGGATGGCATCACATTACAAGGAACTAGGGCTTTGAGATACAAAAGTTGAAGCAGCTCTTAGCCTCCCAATTTGAAGTGAAAGATCTGGGACCCCTAAAGTATTTTCTTAGGATTGAGGTTGTTCGCTCACAAAAGGGTATCTTCATCTCTCAGAGAAAATACATCCTGAATCTTTTACAAGACACAGACAAACCAGGTGCAAAGTCAGTTGATATCCCTATGGATGTTAATCATAAACTAGATGATTGTGATGGTGAACCTCTGAAGGATGTGAAACAATTTCAAAGGTTAGTGGGAAGATTGTTATATCTGTTTATGACACGCCCTAACATTGCTTATATTGTTGGGGTTCTAAGCCAATTCATGCATTCACCTGAGGTTCCACACTTGGAGGTTGTTGAGAGTATCTTTAGGTATTTAAAGAAGTATCCAAGAACTGGTTTGCTATTCAGAAAACATAATCATTTGAAGGTGGAAGCTTATACAAATGTTGATTGGACATGTGCTATGGATGATAGAAAATCCACAAGTGGGTATTGTACTTTTGTGGGTGGAAACCTGGTGACATGAAAAAGTAAGAAACAAAGTGTGATTGTAAGGTCAAGTGTTGAAGCTAAGTATAGAGCTATGGCACAAGGGGTGGCTGAGGTACTTTGTTTGAAAAATCTGCTAGAAGAGCTTGGGTTCAATATTGACAATCCCATGTCTCTCTATTGTGATTACAAAGCAGCCATAAACATTGCAATTAATCCTATTCTCTATGATAGGACTGTTAGAATAATGTTAAAATAACTTAGTTGCAGATGTTAGGGCCTGTTTGGCTAATTACAGTGTTTTTTTATTTCTGTTATGTCTGTTATTGTACTCAGGGGCACAAGGGTCTTTTCCCTTGTTATTTCTGTCGCCCTATATATAGTAAAATAAAGACTGGTGCCGCCAGTACTGTTACATTGCAAACCTTCTCTCTTCTCTCCTCTCTTCTCTTCTCTTCTTCTTCTCTTCTCTTCTCACCTCTTCTCCTTATCTCTGGCTGGCCACACTGTCAAGAAGGACCAAGCACATTGAGGTAGATAAGCATTTCATGAGAGAGAAGCTTGATAAGGATGAAGTCTGCACTCCCTATGTTAACTCTAGGGAGCAACTAGCTGATGTTCTCACAAGAGATCTTCCTTATTTGTGGCACAATAACTTTGTGACAAGTTGAGCATGATTGACATATACAGCCCAACTTCTGTCATTGTGTTCATTTCTTGAAGCTTTATGCTCCTTTTAATAGTCTGGGCTGCCAAGAGCAGAACTATAATTGTATGTCCTCATTTAAATAAAGAATTTGGCACCGCCAGCCTAGATTTTGGCACTCAAAAAATAAATATTCTTTCTCTTCTCCTCTCTTCCCTTTCTCTTCTCTTCTTCTCCGCTTCACTGTATGACCAGATATTGAATGAAAACAAAGACATTCTCCAATTACTTATCAAAAAAAAGAAAGATACTTTCTTCGATTAATTGATCAATTGCCAATTACTTTTCTAGTGATACAGTCAACACAAAGAACAGCCTCATGAAGGTAGCACGAAGCCCTAAACTCCAAATGATGTTTTACAAATAAGACTGGGATGTGCTGCAATCCATGTTCAAAGGACTTCCCTCTCAAAATCTTGCTATCATCCATGCACATTTTGATGCCAAGCTGGGTTTCAACTTGGTGTGAACCAATCATTAACTGAAACTATGTGAACTTCAATACTTCATTCAGAAAACGTAAAAGATTAAATATAAAAAAAAAGAAATCAATATTTTCCATATATCCTTCTATTCTTCATATTGTTGTTGTTATTGTTGACTTGTTGTTGTTGTTGTTGTTGTTGTTTTATTTGGTTTTCTTCTTTATCTCATCTGTGTTATATTCCCTTTTCTTCTCATTTGGTCTCCTAACCTCCTCTGTTCTTACTTTCTAGACCAAGTCACCAAACTATACATCTTTTTTTTTTCATTTCTTTCTGGATTTTGTTTACTTTTGAAACCCTGATCTTGCTTCTATAAGAATCTGAACCAATCAATTTATTCACCTTCTATTATTAAGTTCTATGCAGAAGTAATACGCCATATACACACATCAAACAAATAGTCCTATCCAAAATGACAAAAGAAACTAGAAAACAGCATCCAAAGTGCCAACACTTTTTTTTGCACCCTTCCCCACTCTAAAATAAATACAAAATCGTTAGACTTGCAAATCCCCCCCCAAATACTTTCATGGTTAGGTAATCATAGCATCACCTTCTCAACTCATGTTTCTATGTCGATGAGCGAAAGTAAAAACACCTCACTATAACAATTAAATAATTACCCCATGAAGCCTGTAGGAAATATACGCAACTCCCTACTTAATGTTACAATGGTCCTAATTTATTAATTTTAACAACATATACTACACAGGCTCAAAATTTTCTATCTCATTACCTCGCATCCAAGCTCTGAAGATAGTTATTATAAGAACAAATAGTTCTCTTAATCTATAGAAGATAGGAACCTTATGTATAAAACAGAGTATTACATCATGTAAATCCCAATCCTTATCTACAACAAGTAACCAACAAAATCAAATAGGTTCGTAAAAGACGACTGGGGCTTCAGCCTACAAATCCAAGAATAGGCAGGATACTTACTCGATAGATGCTCGCCAGGGTTCTGCACAGCTTCCTTGAGGAACTGATCGCCCTGATTGATAGCATAGCTAGAAACCCCTCGAATGTTCTCAGAACCAACAGACGAATAAGAAGCAGAAGCAGATGACGACGAGGCAGTAGAAGTAGGAGGAGCTGCTGTAGAATCACCAGCGAACTCCAGCGGTGATGCCGTCAACCTGCCCATGCCCTCGTCCGGGTCCGCCATTTCACATGAATCAGGAGCCCGAGAACCTCCACTGCTGTGCGAATGGAAATGGTCAAGAAACTAGGGACAGCTCTGCCAGACAAGACCTTATTTGCAGAGAATTTCATAGAGATGAAGACAATGAAATCATGGTCTGAAGGAACAACGAACTCAATTACTCAAAGAATTAGGGTACAAAAAAACGACGCGGATGAAAGACGTAATGAAATTTTCTCCTCTCGCAACTTATTTACGTGTTCTTCCGCGTTTCGTCTATTCCTCGTTTAAAAAGGAATCCAAGATGAGAAAAACAAAGAAACGACTGAATGAGGTATTATCATCGGTAAAAGGAAGAAGAAGAAAGGGTGTTGTTTATTAGACTTTCCGTCTAGTTACAGGCTTACAGCCTTACAGGTACAAGATTTGGCTATTTGCTCTGCTCTGTAGCCTGTTGTTCGTTGCTCCCACTGTTTTCAACCGATCGCTGACTCGAGACTAGGGTTGATCATTTCTGACCGGGCCGCCGTTGCCCAGCCGGACCTCGAATAGGGTAATCTCCAAAAACCTCGGGTTGTGTCATCTTACTACCTAAACAGATAAACAACGACAAGTTGCAGGCCCATGATTGTTTTCCCACTAAAAAGTTCGTTTTGTCATAGGATCATGATCATCCAAACGGAAAATATTTATTGTTTAAGCTTAAGGACATGGRGACATGGGGTTTATTAATTTAAGGACATTAAGGACATGGGGACATGGGGTTTATTAGAAATAACCTAAAACAGAACATTAATAGAGATGTCAATGGGTCGGGTTTGGTACGGGTTTGTCTCAACCCTAACCCGACCCTCCAGCACTCCAACACGAATCCGACTAATTAAAAATATATGGTTTTTGAACCCGGTTTGATCTTATGGGGTTTAATCCGATTCTGACCCGACTTGATCCATATAATTTCAAATGTATTTTTTAACATATTTTGAATATCTAAAATACATAAATTTAAGTAAGGAAATTGTTTTATAGATTCTAAGGTATTATTTTTTCTATTTAAAAAAGAAGAAAATTAAAATCAACATATAAATAAATTATAAACTTTAAGCCTATAGAGTTAGAAGTCAAAAATTTACAAGAATACTTGGTATATATGCAACGTATCATGACTTGGCAGAGTAGATCAACTAAACCCTGAACCCAACTCAGATCAAAAGATCAAAATCCTAACCCGATCCTAAACCAAATATACTTGACCCTAACCCGACCCTATAGGGTCAGATTAAGCTAGGTTTACCATTTAACCCAACACATTGACATCCCTATTCATTAGGGGCACAAATAGTATTTTCATTTTTATTTTTGTTAGCGTACTCTATCGTTATCTCCTTGATTCTAGGAGATATAGTTCCACTCCAATTGTACATATCTTTTTTCTTCCAATTTAGGTTGCCGACCTCATTGTATTCCAAGACTCCATTATAGATAGGTTGTAACCCATTGAATTATTTATTAAGAGAATTATTATTTGCTTCTTACTCTTCTGTGTTTTCGTATCATGGTAACTGAAGGTGAACTCTTCTGTTACAGGTGAAGAATCCGACTGTGAAAACCAATCGTTCAATCCAATTCGACGGATCTGAAGGGTGGCACTCACGATAACGGAGTTGAAGAGTCAAAGAAGAAACGGGAACCGGTGGAAACCATTACCAGAAGACCGCATCCGATTTCTGGTGACACGAATCCCTTGCCTTAACTGCTTCATCGAGCGGACCTCGGATCTAAAAGAGAGCTCACCAATGCACCGACTCTGGTGATCAGGTCCGCCCCCGACAAGCGTAAGAATATTGCACCGGAATAGCATCTCAACAACGCTTATACCACCTCCGTTATCGAAATCCCACCTGAAGATCTCGCAGAAAGGATCGTAGTTATAGATCTGGAATCCATGATCGGTGCCGGCAGCAAAGCATCCGTGGTCCTGATTGAAGGAGAAGGAGATTCGGGACTGTAGACGGCGCAAGATCCAGATTATCATGGTGAATAGGATTTCAGTTAGGGTTTTGAACAAAAGGAGAGGTCGAAGATGGCGAATTAGAATTGGAGGAGGCTTCCTAACCTTCGCGTGCCCTTATCACTTGAAACAGCCAACCACTGCATCGTAGAGGAGAAAGCCAGGCTGTAAATTTCTGCTCTATCTGCACCCCTTCGTACCTCTTGCAGCAACGTGCCATTGAACGTATTGAATATCCTAACAAGAGTTCCCTTAGTACTGGTCGTAGCAAGAATGAGTGCAAAACACACAATCCTTGAATCATGAGCCATGATGAACTTCATACGCTTCGAACCACAATGCTCAACCCTAACTTGTCCCTTCTGTAGCCCGGGGCAAACCAGCACGAGCGACCCTGACATCTGTGAAACCGCACACAACCCCTTCGGATTGGTAATTCTCTCAATTTGATGCAACACCATCAGGTCCGCGAAATTGTACACGAATATCTTCTTGACACCGGTGGTTGTCCTTGAAAAGACCCCGATCAACGGTTTACATCTTGTGGTCTGCGAATTAGAAAGGAAGGTTACGTAGGTGCAAAACCTTCGTCAGCGTCTGCGTGTACCAGAATTGAGGCTGCTCCGATGAAGAAGACATTAGGGATTCAACGAAGTTTTCCTTTTAACGTCAGTATTTTCCCATGATTCGTGTTGCTCCAAAGATCTGTGTTTCTCCTCATGGATTCATCTGAAGCTGCTCAACATATCTCTCATCCCATCACTGTTACCTTCGATGGCTCAAATTATGATTTTTTGTCCCAAGAGATGTGCAGTTTTCTCAAGGGACGCCTTCTATGGCGATATGTGACTGGTGAGATTCCCAAACCTACTAAAATTGTTGATGAAACAGAAGATAAATTTGCTGAACGAATAGAAAATGGGATGGGAAAATCATCAAATATTGACCTGGTTTCGCAATACTTGTATTGCAAGCATCAAGTTGGAATTTCGCAGATATGACTCTCCTAAAGAGGTATGGGATTTCTTACAAGCCCGTTATTCTATTTCTGATGATGTGCATCAGTTTCAGCTCTATAGGCGTCTTCACCGTATGAAGCAGCAACCTGAACAGACCATTCACAGTTATGTCTCTGAATTACAAGTTCTTTGGGATCAGTTAGCACAGTGTGAACCTGATGGGATRGTACCTCTACAGCTACTACTTGTTCCAAGATTCGCGATCGCCAATGTGTTTGGCATCTTCTGATGACTCTCAGGGATGAGTATGAACCCGTTAGTGGTACTCTACTTCATCGTAGCCCATTAACTTCTCTTGAAGTCGTGATCAAAGATTTGCTTTCTGAAGAAACTCGTCTAAAAACACTCCGAGATGAGCGCTCCTTATTATCTTTTGATGCTGTTCTTGCTACTCCAGTCACCCCGGTTACATATGCTACTTCTTCAACTTCCTCTAAATCTTCAAAAAGGAGGTTTTGCAATTACWGCAAGAAGACTGGTCATACTATTTCTGAGTGCCGCCGCTTGCAAGCCAAAAAGGCGTCTGGACAAAAGTCCTCATCCACGGGTTCTCAGGCATCGAACTCTACTGCAGCTGTTGCCACAGAGGATTCTTCTGATAACACCTCTCCAAAATTCTCCCTTAGAGAACTCCAAGCTCTTCTTCACCAGCTCCAACCTGATTCTGGTATTTCTTCTAATCCAGTCTTGTCCATTATTTCAGGTACTTCCTCATCATGGTATCTTGATTCTGCCTATTGCAATCATATGACCTCCAATTCATGTCTGTTTACTTACAAGTCACATCCTTCTATTGCACCGATTGTTCATACTGCTAATAGCTCAACCTTAATTGTTAAAAGTATAGGAACTATTTCAACATCTCACTTGTCACTACCTAATACTTTTCTAGTACCAAAATTATCTATAAATCTTTCTGTTGGACAATTATGTGAACTTGGTTTTGAAATACATTTTTCAAGTCGTGGTTGTACTATGCAGGATCCACGGACAGGGAAGATCATTGGGACAGGTCGTAAGGTTGGGAGATTGTTTGAGTTATCATTTCTTCAATTATCATCCCTTGTTGCTGCTATCACCTCTAGTGTCTGGCATTCTCGCCTTGGTCACATTTCTACCTCTATATTAGGGTCTTTAATTTCTAATGGATGTTTGGGTCCTGTTAAAACAACACACTTTGATTGTGTTTCATGTCCCCTTTCAAAACATCATGCTTTGCCTTTTAATATAAGTGATTCAGTTTCTTCTGCACCTTTTGATCTTATCCACTCTAATATTTGGGGGCCTTCACCTCATAATACCATGGGTGGTTCACACTATTTTGTGATCTTTGTTGATGATTTCTCTCGATATACACGGATTTATCTTATGCATAATAAGTCAGAATTACCTGCACTTTATATTCAATTTGCCACCATGATCAAAACTCAGTTTTCCTCTACCATCAAAATTTTTCGCACTGATAATGCCATGGAATATAGAGATTCTATCCTTACTCAAATTTTTTCACAAAAATGGAACTATTATTCATAGATCTTGTCCCGGTACCTCTCAACAAAATGGGCGTGCAGAACGAAAACATAGGCATATTCTTGATACTGTTTGAACTCTCTTAATCTCTTCCTCTTGTCCTGAACATTTCTGGGGGGAAGCAGCTCTCACAGCTGTTTATACCATCAATCGCATTCCTTCTCCTGTTATTGGTAACATTTCTCCGTATGAACGGTTGTATGGCCATTGTCCTGATTACCAGTCTCTTCGTGTTTTTGGTTGTATTTGTTTTGTTCTATTACAACCTCATGAACATACCAAATTGGAACCAAAAGCACATTTATGTTGTTTTCTCGGGTATGGTATTGAACATAAAAGATATCGGTGTTGGGATCCTCTTTCCAATGACTCTGCATATCTCGTCATGTTGCATTTTGGGAACACAAAATGTTCTCAAGTCTCTCCCCATTTCAAGTCACCACGACATCTTCACAATTTTTTACTAATCCTACTATTTTGTTTTTTCCTGATGACTTACCTGTAGGTCCTACTACTCCTTCATCTGATAGCTCTCACAGTACTGCACAACCTGCAACCTCTCCTGATGCATCTACCTTGGCAATGGATCCTCCAGCTCTGCCTCCTTCTAAGCCCTTGATTCCTCCTGCTGAATTAGACCCTGATCATTCTGATGCTCCAC